GGAGCATCCAGCCACAGGCCAGCTCCCAGGTCAGCGCGCTCAGGGGTGTACGTGGCTCCCCACGTTCCAGCCGGGAAGGGTCCTTAGCAGCGCGGTCTGTGCAGGAGACGGTGCTGAGAGAGCGCGTGAGAGCCCTCCCCACGCAGGCAGCCGGGGTGGGACCGTGGGGGGCAGGCAGCTAGCCTCGGTGGGTGATCACTGCGTGATAGCGACACATAAGTCACTGTTTTATACCTCACACGTCAACAAGGTCATGTCAGTTATATCTCCATGAAGCTGCAACGCAGACACCAGCGCGTTCTCAACCTGTCCCCCCATCTCTCTGTCCCCCTGTCTCTCTGTCTCCCCGTCTCTGTCTCCCTGTCTCTCTGTCCCCCATCTCTCTGTCTCCCCGTCTCTGTCTCCCTGTCTCTCGGTCCCCCGTCTCTCTGTCCCCCCATCTCTCTGTTTCCCCGTCTCTCTGTCTCCCAGCCTCCCTCCTCATCTCTGTCTGTCTCCCTCCAGGCACAGAGTCCGTGTGAGGCCCAGGAGGCAGCCACGTGCCAGGACCTGGTGACCACTGTCCTCGTCAGAGACGGAGCGGCCGGCACCTGTACTCCCCCAGCCCCCGCGCCGGGATCAATGTCAGCTGTCGGCGCCCCGAGTCTGTGGCTCCCGTGCGACAGCCAGGCGACCGAGGCAGGGGCGTCTCCTGCCCTTCCAGTTGGTGAGCAACCAGGGGCTTACATTCAGGAACAGTCTCCCGCAAACACCCTCCTTCCCGCCTCAGCTCCCAGGACGCCCAGCCTCTGGCACCCGACCCATCCCCACTGGCCCGCATCAACACTGCCACCCAGTGGCCAGAGTGAGAAATTACAGGGAGCTGTGTGTCCAGGCCTCTGCCCAGCCATAGCACCTTCCAACTGACCAGCCCTGGCCAGAGACCGGGGCAAAGGATGGGTGGGACACAGCAGCCTCTTCCCAGTACATCTGGGGAAGCTGACGCAGAGCCGTCTATTCCAACACATGGAAAAGGCACAGATCAAGTGACATGGAGCCAAAGGCTGCAGGATGGAGGAGCTGGGGCTTTGAAGGGTGAATAGGAGTTCACTGGGGACCATGGTGAGGGACAGGGCTACCAGGAAAGAGTTTCTTTAAAAAGCTGGAGTCAAGCTGAACTTTCCTGAATGCCGTCCATCTGGATGGACGTTTCTAGGAGTCAAACCTTCCCCACTTGTAGCTGCTGCTCCGCCCAGCCCCCAACCACACCCAACCATAGTCCACGCTCCACAGCTTCTCGGGGCTCTGCCTCCCATTTCCATGGTGCATTTACACCATGGAATACTACGCAGCAGGAAAAAAGAAGGATCTCTTACCCTCTGAGACAGCATGGAGGGACCCGGAGAGCACCATGCTAAGTCAGTGGCTCTCAACCTTCCTAATGCCGCGACCCTTCAATACAGTTCCTCGTGTTGTGGTGACCCCCAACCATAAGATTATGTTCGTTGCTACTTCATAACTGTAATGTTGCTACTGTTATGAATCGTCATGTAAATATCTGATATGCAGGATGTATTTTCATTGTTACACATTGAACATAATTAAAGCATCGTGATTAATCACAAAAACCATATGTAATTATATATGTGTTTTCCGCTGGTCTTAGGCGACCCCTGTGAAAGGGTCATTCGACCCCCAAAGGGGTCGCGACCCACAGGTTGAGAACCGCTGTGCTAAGTGAAAGAAGCCAGTCAGAGAAAGACAAGTGTCACATGATCTCTCTCACATGTGGAATCTAATGAACAAAATAAACTGATGAACGGAGTGGACCCAGAGACACGGCAGCAGGGAACAGAGTGCGGGATCTCGGAGGGAAGAGAAACATCAATGATGAGAGAGAATCATCGATCGGCTGCCCCCTGCACGCCCCACACTGGGGATCAAGCCCACAACCCGGGCACGTGCCCTGACCGGGAACGGAGCCGTGACCTCCTGGTTCATAGGTTGATGCTCAACCACTGAGCCACGCTGGCCGGACGCCTCCCGTGTCTAAACAGCACAATCCTGGGACCTGTCCGATTTCCTTCCGTCTGGGTATTAGTTACTGACGCTCGGCCAGGGAGACGGGGCCCAGCTCATCTGTCGCACGGCCCTCGGTTTCTGTGGTGCCGACTCATGCCACGTCCACAGCCCAGAGCCACGTGTTTTGGGGTTTTGTTTTTTAATATATTTAATTGATGTCAGAGAGGAACGGGGAGGGAAAGAGAGTTACAAACTTCAATGATGAGAGAGACTCATGGATCGACTGCCTCCTGCAGGCCCAACACTGGGGATCGAGCCTGCAAACTAGACATGTGCCCGGACCAGGAATGGAACCCGGGACCCTTCGGACTGCAGGCCGATGCTCTATCCACTGAGCCGAACTGGCCAGGGCTGGACTTGAAGTTTCAGCGGTAGGAAGGGGCTCTGGGAGCCACCAGCACTGGGACACAGGGACACAGGCGCCGGGCACAGCTCCCAACTCGGATGACATCCCCCACGGGACCAGCTGACCTCATGTCAAAAGTACACGATGCCCAGAGACCCGCGGTCTCGCCCCCCCACCCCTGCCCCGTCTGTGTGAGGTGTCCAGCGAGGGCTCTTCTTACCTGGAAGGGGGTCTGGCTGTTGTAGTTCTTCAGCTCCTTGTCCCCGCCCCGGAACAGCAGCACCCGCGCACAGCTGTCCTGCAGGCACACGGGACACGCGGGTGACGGACAGATCCCACGGGAGCCGCTCAGGCAGAGCCCCGCCCCCTGCAGAAGCTCCCTCCCAAGAGGCAGAGAAACGCTGGCAAAGCCAGAGGGCGGGCGGGTTCCTCCCTCCGCGCGGCCAGGATCAGGATGACCCCACCCCCACCCCCGCCCAGTGCTACCGGGTGAGGTTTAACTGCTACAAACACTGGACAACATGGCAGAATCTATAAAAGTGGAAAGTATATGCACCCCTGGGCCAAACAGCGGCCTTTTTAAGGCCACATTCTACAGTCTCGCACGTGCGCACAAAATACATCAGAAGTGAAACGCCCGGCCGGCGGGGCTCCGTGGGTGAGCATCAACCGATGAACCAGGAGGTCACAGTTCGATTCCCATTCAGGGCACAGGCCCCGGGTTGCAGGCTCAATCCCCAGTAGTGGGTGTGCGAACTATGGCCCACAGGCTCTCAAGCGGCCCGCTGCCTGCTTTGTAAATAAAGTTTTACTGGCACACAGCCACACGGTCATCTAGTGCTGTCTCAACGGCAGAGCGGCGTGGCCGTGGCCTCAAGCCTGTGGCCTCTGCAGAGAGTTCGCCGACCCCTCCTCTAACCTGAGGCAGCTGGGCAGGGCTTTCCCGAGAGCCCGGCCAGCTCTGGGTCCTCCTGGAGCCATTGGCCAAGACAGGACAGACCTGAGTCAGGTCAGTGACATGGGTCAAACCAGCCTAGCCCGTCACAGACTGCAGACCACAGTGGAACCACCCACACGCTCAAGACCTTCTTGGCCACAATTATTTCAAGTGGCAGCAAACATGTCTATCGGGCGGTTTTGTCTCAATGAAAGACGCGCAGTCTCCTGGGGACAATGAAGGGCTGCCTGCTGCTCGGGGCGTGAGAAGCACATGTTGGCACAGATGTTCTACCAGCTGCGGCCAAGCCTCGGGCGTGCTTTCCTGGAGCAGCCGGGCAAGGCACCCTGGGCTCACACAGCTATTCCCGTGCAAACGTCAGGGTCCCCCGGGGAGTGCCCCAGCTGCACACAAACCCCACTGTGCGGGGGTCGCCTCCAGAAGCAGGAAGCCAGCCCCCCGCCCTGCAAATCCTTCTTGAAGCTGAAATGCTCCCCGCCCTGCAGGCTGAGCTGCTCTCCTGTGCCAGCCGCATGGAGACCACGAGCCATGGCTGCTCATGCCCCTGAGAAGAGGGGTCCAGGGCCAGGGGTGCCAGCAGAAAGGATGGGTGAGTCACAACAATGCCTGCCCCTGGCGGTCCCCCAAAGCACTGCACAGCGAGAACCACAGCGGATACTATGGGAACTCATCCAGGGGAGCCTTGACTGAGGGCGGGCTATCTGAATGGGGTCTTGAAGGATGTGTAGGAGTTTCCCAAGGTTGACTAGCTAGAAGCAAATCTGGATTTCAAAGTGGCTTGGAGGGGCCTGGGCGGGGGCGCGCCCATGGACTGGGCGGGGAAAGGGCCTGGTCTCAGGCGAAGGCTGGAGGTTTCACCTAAAAAGACGGGAGCACTGCTTGGGCTGGAAAGATACTGCCGATGGCAGAGGACACGCAGCTGCAAGACCCTTGGGGCCCCCAGCATCACCCTAATCAGTGGTCCGCCCTCTGCTCCTCCAGGTAGCAGAGCACTCCCCCCCATGCTGCTCATGCAGTGTCCACACCCCCCCCACCCCACCCCCCCACTCTCCAGGCGAGGTCCTTGAAGTCAAAGAATAGGAATGAAGGGAAGGAGGGGCAGGGACCTCCCACAGCGAAGTTCAGGACCTGCCTGGACCCCGGGCCCCAGGGCCCCAGGGCCCCAGGGAACTGTCCCGCTCCCCGCCCTCCGGTCGTAGAAGGTGGGGGTGGGCCCCGCGGACGCCATACTGACCTGGTTGTAGAGGGCACAGATGTGCAGGGCCGTGTTCCCTGAGGCATTCTGAGCCCCCATGTCCGCCCCGTAGAAGAGCAGGTGCTCCAGGTGCTGCACGTGTCCGTACCTGCAGGCCTGAGAAAAGACCTCGCTGTCAACAGGGCACCAGGGGGTGCCCTGAGCTCCATCGGGGACACGCCCAGCTCCACAAGGACGCTCCCACCCCAGGGGCAGTGAGCTGAGGGAGCATCTGCTGACACCATGCTGTCCTGGCCTGAGGGTGATGGGGCGTGGCCAGAGGGTGATGATGACAGTGGCGGGGGTGTGGCCTGAGGGTGATGCTGGCCTGTGGGGGCGTGGCTTAATGGTGAGGGGGCGTGGCCTGTTGGTGATGATGACAGTGGTGGGGGCATGGCCTGAGGGTGATGAAGCCTGCTGGGGGCTGGGTTGATGGTGATGGGGTGTGGCCTGAGGATGACAGTGGGGGCGTGGCCTGTTGGTGATGATGGCTGTGGTGGGGCGTGGCTAGAGGGGATGAGCACAGGGATGGGGCGTGGCCAAACAGTAACCATGACAATGATAGTGACGGGCACGGCGGGCATATATTGTGCAGTCACTAGCTGCCAGGTGCGTCACAGGAATTTCTCCCTAAGCTGCCCTGAGCCATGAATTCTAACTCAACTGACTTGCGCGATTAGCAGGCAGCTCCCAGCGGTAAGTCCCTGGCTCAGGGGCCCTGGACCATGTTGACAGGGTTTCACCCCGCCCACCGCACCCCAGGCCAGATGCGCCCTCGTTTATCCCGAAACAAAGTCAGAGAAACAGAGCGGGAGGTCGGGAGGGGGACTCCCACGTGGGCCCGTCACGTGTGCCGGCTGCACATGAAGGGAAGGTGCGTGGGAGGGAACCCGGCTGCTTGGCCCCCCGGGTCCCCAGTTGGGAGCGAGGGGGCAGGGAGGGGGGCAGGCGGACCTGAAACTGCCCAGCAATTAAAGCCACACGGGGAATGAGTCCTCCAAGTTCCTAGATTGTGGGAAAGCATCTGGGTGTGTCTTCTTTAAAAAAATAAATGTTACTGATGTCAGAGAGAAGGGGAGAGGGAGAGAGAGACATCAGTGATGAGAGAGCATCCCTGACCGGCTGCCTCCTGCACGCCCCACACGGGATGGGGCCCACAACCCAGGCCTGTGCCCTGACCCGGAATCGAACCCTGACCTCCTGGTTCATAGGTTGACGCTCAAGCCCTGAGCCACGCCAGCCGGGCATTACTTGTTTCTACTTCGTTTACGAAAGATCTCCCCGTGGAAGGGCATTTCGGGAAAAATACTGGGGCCATTTGAGGTCCTTTGCAGTCATGACTCAAATAACTGCTCTCCCCAAGTCAGCCTGCAGGGGGCGGGGCAGCCCAGGGCGGTGCCTGGAGCCCCTGGATGGGAAGCCGCCTTTGCAATGAGACCCGCGGGCCAGGGCGATCCCAGGAGAGGAGGCCAAGGGGAGGCTGCCACCTGCAGCACCTGCGGGCAGGCCTGGCCTGGGCATGGGACCCGAGAGAGGAGGCGGAGCCAGACAGGCCGGGAGGGAGCTGTCCACGCCCCGGGGTGCTGGACGGAGGGACAGACTTGAGTTGCAGGAGCCCGACAAGGAGAGCGGACCCAGCCCACCGCGAGCCTGCGCACAGAGGGAGCACTGGGCTCTGCAGCGCTGGCCGCGGCCACCGCCCTCGGGTAACGAGGTGCCTCAGCAGGACGGGGGGCCTTTCCCAGCCTGTGAGACAGATGGACCCAGAGGGCGCGGACAGTCCCAGCACGGATGGGCTGGGACACAGGCGTCTGTGGGCCCTGGGCCCCTGCACTCAGAAG